TTGTAGCTTTTCAAGCCCCTTATACATTCGCTGCAATGTTCAAGCCCGTTGGCTTCACTCTACTTTCACTCGTCGTACTCCTGCTGAGCGGGTGAGCAGACTCTCTCTGGCCTGATCGTTGTGCAATATAGTGTCTGTCTTCAGAATGAAAGGTTGTGATAGAAAACCGAGACGAGTTGGAAGAGCGGTAACTACTACCCGCAAGCCTACCACCACTACCCGCAAGCCTACCACCACTACGCGCCAGCCTACGACCACTACGCCCGAGCCTGTCACCACTACGCCCGAGCCTGTCACCACTACGGCCGAGCCTGTCACCACTACGGCCGAGCCTGTCACCACTACGGCCGAGCCTGTCACCACTACGCCCGAGCCTGTCACCACTACGCCCGAGCCTGTCACCACTACGGCCGAGCCTGTTACTACTACAGCAATGCCTGAGAGCGAGGCGACTACGGAAATCTCGAGCCCTTCCCAGACGACGCCTGAAGCTATCAACACCAAGCTGGAGAATGACACTTCTCCTGATGTGCAGCCGACAGAGGAGAAGAGCTCAGGTGGGGCTCAGCGTCTGCGTTTTTGCTTGCGTTGTAGCGCTTCCGCAGATGAAGCCGCGTCGCCAGAGTCGATGCCTGATGATATGGTTGTCCATGGCACTCCCGAAGGGGAAACGGAGAGCTCCGAGGCGACTAACACCGGGAGGGCTAACCTGTCGGGGACAAGCGATTCTAACTTGGAGTCTGATGGGGAGGAACTGAGTGAGTTTATACTTGTCTCGATGGGGAAGAGCATGATGTGTTCTGTTCAGATGCAGCTCGTCCAGTTGACTCTACAGCTGATGAGAAGCCGACTGATGCTGGCGCGGCTGGTGAGTCGTCTTCCTCGGAAGAAGTGGAAAATCTCAAAAAGTCTGGCAAGAGTGGCCCATTCGTGTTGAAGGGTGTCAAAAGACATGTGACGATATCTCAAGAAGAGGAGTGGACCAAGGCCGGGCATAGGAAGCGAAAATCCGCCTAGCCTGTATTCCCTCTCTTGTTATTGAATCTGTCCCGACACTCCCTGGCCGACCTTTGAGTTCTCGGGGGTGGAGGTGTTGGAGGCTTCAGTTCGTGAAAGTAGTTTTCTCAAGCCCCTCTCATTCTTCTACCAATGAAGTTCTGCACCTACCAGACCACTTTCACCATCGGCTCTCTCATTGCTATCATCGGGTACGCTCGAGTATTACCATTATTCTTTTATCATGTACTCATTCGTTATTCAGACTGCAGGGATGCGCCTCTAAGGAGAAGAAAGCCGCCCAAGCCGCAGCTGACGCGGCATCTGCAGCATCTGGTCTCGCCTCTGAAGTCGCTGACTATGATAACTTCGTAAGTTTGACAAACTCCACCTGAGGAATTTTGGGCTATGTTTTCTTTCGGTTAGTCTGTCGATAATCTCTTCCGTGGAAGCGGAGGCCGCTACCAGATTTGCAGTGTCAACGGCACTACTACTGACGGCTCCAACGATATGGAGGGAACATTCAAGCTCCGAGTTGAAAGAATACTCGGCAGTGGCGAAAGCCAGTGGAAGGCGATTCTCCGCGGTTTCTGTGGGGCTTCCGGGTAAGCCTCAGGGTGGGAATCTGACACAAGGTCTGGGTATCGTTCTGTTTCAGCAATTTGGAGAAGAAGTTGGGCACTGACCACACGAGCAAGTTGCAAGGCGAGATGAACTGCCAGGGCGTCTGGGGCGTGTTCCACATCACTCGCCAGTCGGGCTTGGATGCGGTCATATCCGTATGCGACGACGTTCTCAATGCTCAAGAGCAGAAAGGTTCTGGTGCTGCTAGCAGCTCCACTGAAGTGCAAGAAACCACCACCGCCGCCCCTACTGGTGAGAAGGAGGAGGAGGAGGCGACTGAAGAGAAACCCGCGAGTACAGAGGAGCATATGCTGATGAGACAGCATCGCCGAGCTGCCCTTCACTTCAGTTAAGAGGCTGCCTGTAGAGGCACCCTGACACATGTCATGTGAATGTTAGAAGGTCAATTGACCCTTTGACACTGAGCGATGTATTGTGTTGTCGTTTGTCTGCTGCGGTGTATTCTCCTTGTTCTTGAGCTATCAGGCCCCTCTGTTCTTTATGACTAGCAGTATGATCCTTCGCGAATTAGCCATTCTCCTAGCCCTCTTGGGCATAACAATGTGAGCATTCCTTCGTGAGATCGATTGCGATTTCCGGATTGATTTACCTTTACGCGTCACCTCTCAGACAGCAAGGCTGCGGGAGCAAATCCGAAGCGAGCACAGCGGAATCGTCAGGAAATACACAGACGGTTGGGTCCTTTCGTAGGAGCGATTCAAGCAATGAGAGTTACAGGCATCAGAAAACGTGGTCTGTCTATGTAAGCAGCACTGTGAGCATAGCTCTTCTATGGGCACCGATCATCCATGGTTACTTGACTGAATCGCCTCATTATGTTCCTCGTTCAGCATCCTGGTGTGACTACACACAGACAGGTCTGCACAGCGAAATACAATGATACCCTCAATCTCAAGGAGTACAACCTCAAACTAGAGCGCCGAAAAGAAGGCTCCGAGAAATGGACGGCAAAGCTCTCTGGGAAATGTGGCCATCGAGAGTAGGCTTGTGTTTTGACCTGGGTGATCTGATCTAATGATATTCCTCAGAAATCTCGAAGCTGACCTGACAGGAGACGATTTGGATAAACTCCAAGGCGAGAAGAACTGTGTCGTTGCTTGGGAAGCTCTGGGAGTCACTTCTCGTGTGATCGTCGCCAGAAAGAGTGTCCCTCCCGTAGCGAAGTTATGTCAAACCGTGTTCGGAAGTTAGCGAGGCTTACGACCACTTTTACAGCACCGGTATCTTTGCTGGTATCTTAATGATTTGACATGTTGCTTTTTGGTGCTTCCGTGACTACGTATACTTCGCCACCTATTGGGGCGTAGAAATTGATGTCATAATGGATGTCGAGTTGAATAATGATGGGCTGTGCCGAGAATTGAACTCGGGACCTCTCGCACCCTAAGCGAGAATCATACCACTAGACCACACAGCCGATGTGTGTTTGTTTCTGTGGGTATCTGATACAGAAAACCTCTTGCAGCTTTCCCATCTGTATCTGCGTTGGAGGCACTTTATGGACCTCTTCTCTCTTCTCCACCTCCTCCTTGCCACTTCAATCGTTTTCATCGGAACGATTGGGTAAGCTCTTGATCGCCCGAGATGCACTCATTCTTGTTATGGCAGAATCCAAGGATGCGGATCGAGTAAATCCTCGACTCGCGGTGGAGCTGAGGCAAGCTCCACTGAGACCTCTACAGAAACAGAAAGTGCAGCGAAGGCATCCAAGCAAACTGTGAGTCTCAGATAAAACTAGTGCGGTGAACTCGTCAGCGGTCTTCATGGTTTCACCACGAAGCGTTGGACTCAGGCCCCAGAGGAAGTGAAAGACGGTGGCAAGTTCAAGATCTGTCGCGCCTCCTCAACCGATCATACGTATAAACTTTCTGTTCAACGCACTCTAAAGTCTGGTGAGACCCAATGGAAGGTGAAGCTGGTGGGCGATAAGTGCGGCGACAAGACGTAAGTCAGTTTGTTCCGAACGGTTCATTCCCATGCTCTACTTGACACTGCTCAGCGGCGCGAAGAAGGAGATTGTTGACGATTTGGCTAAGGATTTACAAGGTGAAGATGTTGACTGCAAGGCGGTATGGGAGAAGTTCGGGGTAACAGCAGAAAATCCCAGTCGTCTGAAAACCTTGTGCACGGACCCTGCCTGGCTTGGTGAAGCATCACCTGCCGCTGAGGAGTAGATAAAAAGACACCAAGTTTATCCACAGGACACAAGTTGCGTCCTCGAACATTGTTGTGTCTACTGTGTGAATGTTGTGAATTACAACAAGTTGTTTCGTTCTGCATTTGTCCAAGCCTGGCTCAACCCTGTTGACAATAGGGAATTTTCCTGTCATGTTTCGGCTACCGAGTCTATCTCTGCTATTGCTCCTTTGCATCGCTTCGCTCAGTCTCTTAATGTGAGTCAATACTAACAGTGCTTGGGTCACATTCGTTTGTCTCAGCTTTGAAGGTTGTGGGTCGAAAAAGGAAGTACAAAGTGAAGAATCAAATGCGGGCCCCGAAGCCGGAGTCGCCAGTTCAAGTTCATCATCGAGCTCGTCCAGGACGAGTGTGAGCAAGAAGTGGAGCCGCATGGTGAGGCTTTCTCCCTCATCATCAAAGATCCAATATGAGAGATTCCCCCGCTTCCAACCTGCTCGTTAGGTTCCCGGTACACCTGGTGACACTGTGCAGAGTTGTGATGCCAGCGCTGGCCTATTCCATCTTATAGTTAAACGTGTCAAACGCGGCGGACAGAGCAATTATGAAGTTTCTATGGTGGGAAGCAAGTGCGGTCCTGACGTGTAGGTCTTGCTGACGTCTTGAAGGGCAATGAATTGTTCCCGTTCAGCGTCCCTGAAACTCCACTGAGTGGGGAGAATACTGCCAAACTACAAGAAGATAATATCTCATGTGCCAAGGTTTGGAAGGCTTTAGGAGTCGCCACTGCTACTTCTACAGAAGAGACTCTATCTGATATGTGTGCCAAGCTCAAAGCAGGACAATTGTAGATGTGTGAGTGTCCATGTTCGGTGTAAATTCGTGTGCCTCTGGAAGGCCTCGACGTCTATGAATCTGTTGTTCAGCGCTGTTGAGAATGGAAGAACGCTTGCGTTGAAGTAGTTGGGTTTTCTCTGAATTATAGGCAACTGCTAGCCTGCATTGCGACAGCGTCACAACCACATTTCTCTATCCTGGATAGAGAAGCATGGTTGAACGTAGCTGCTGATCGCTAACCCACATAAGACACCGAGTGTAGGGCATTTATTCCGACGTAGACGGGGGAGGCTCAGCTACCGGCTGAAGTGGAATGATAAAAGGGCAAAGTGACAATCTTCCTGATCTCTGAAGCGATCATCTCTGCATATCGGTAGGAGACAAGTCTTGTGCGGTGAATTGAGGTGAAGAGTGTCACTAGTGAAGACGTTGTAGAATCACGAACATATTGTTAAACTTTCTTGTCATCACGCTAGGGTGTGCCTGAAAATGCTACCTCAACACTGTCGATTAGTCAGACTGGCACACTGGGCGCACGATGCTGGAGAAGCAGCATAGGCGGATCCACTTCCTAAGAAAACGAAAATAGCGGGGTTGTCCTTTTTTGTGCGACACCGTGTGTCTATGCCTTACGCCTTCGGACGACAACGAAGAAGAGATTCGTGGGCACGACGTATTCAATTTTGATCAGATATGGTAAACCTTATTGTTGGTGACAACATGAAAATTCCAAGGAAATTTTTGGGAATTTTTTATTGGTTTCTATACACTCCCATCCGAAGTCGAGTGTGAACTCTCGTAATTAGTGAGGACACTCCTGAGCCCAGCTGAGGGGAGCGAGCGTTCATTCCTTCAACACTGGTAGAGGATTGCTCAGATCAGTGATCGTGACGGCTTCAACTTGGTGGAACCGTGAGCCTGCGTATCTGTACGCGTACCGGGTGAGCTACCTCGATTGCGCCATAAGCATGACCGATACGACTAGCTGTAGAACCACTGATTTACGGCGGAGACCAACCGAGATTGGTATCGTGAAATTTCGAGCTCGATCATATATCGCAGCAGAGAAAGAGAGAATTCCGAGATAGACAGTTGAGGACGCAATTCCCGATTTATTTCATAGTCGTCGAGTGGATCCCTGTCATAGGGGCCTCCACAGGATCCCCAACCTAAACATGACGCGCATGCGTGCTAATTTGCCACTGCTATGTGGAGACTCATTCCCCGATTGTTATCATGAACTACTGGTCTCCTGTGTGAAATGCAGCGGGGTTAATTGCGATGAAGTATCGCGTGTTACACACGACTGCTCTAAACTGTTCGCCCTTGGAGGTTTTTATTTCACGTGAGCGGCAACAACTTCGCTCGCCGAGATTTCTGTCTATCTCGGATTTCGGCCTACCATAGCATGAGGCTGCAGCAGCCTGGTTACCTCCAGTCATAATAGCGGTTGTGAAGTCCTAAACTATAACTTAAACTAAACCCTCTGGTGACCAGCTCGTAGCGCTATTTCTATTACGAGCCTTCCCGTCTGAAGTCACGCACGTCACGTTGAGACGAGCACGCATGCACAGAGCTGTGACGCAGAATTGAAAGGCCCTCTGCGGGATAATTCCCTTTAGTGAATTGCTGTCACATGGACTCTCTTTGTTTCGACTGTACAATCCCAACCGGTATTCCTGGAAGTGGCGATCCGGTCTCAATGACCATGAGCAATCCAGAGCAACTTCTGAGGATCGGTGTAAGCTCTGGGTGGGAGATCTGTGCCGGTTTACTCTGAGTGTTTCTATGTATCAGGCGGAGACTCGGCCCGCAGGGCAATCCCAAGTGGCAGGTCAGTCGGCATCTTCACCCGATGTAAAATTTTTAAACCCTTGGATACGTCGCGCTGTTGCCAGCAACCTGGTTCTTCCCTTGGGCGTTGTTGGTCGTGGGATCGTACGAAGGATGATCGGACAAGTAAGGAGGCACCTTTGTGAATACCTTCGTGATCTGGACTTTTCAGAAACTACGGGAGAAACCCCATCTTCGTCCGGTCATAAAATCTATCGGTAAACCGAAGAGTGCCTCACTCGCAGCTCTCATCGAGATGTGCCTTGTTACGGGTACCCTACAGCAGGCAACTCGTATTTCCATCCACCACATTGAACAGTGCAATCTCAAGAAGGCTGCTGCCAAAAGCCGGCGTAAAGCATCTCCGAAATCTGGTCGCCGCCGTGGAGCGAGACCGCCTCGCGAACCGGTGATAAACGGAGACTCCTGTTCGCTACTACTACTGCTTTACACCCATGGCATCTGCTGTCCAGGTGAAACCAATGCTGAAGTGGAGTTGGA